TTTTACAGCTGGAGATGAAAACTATAGTGTTAGTGCCCATGTGTAAAAAATGAGCTGCCAGAAGGAGGAGATCAAATAAATTGCGTCCCCTTTGGCAGACATAACGAAAGGCGATAACGTATCTGAGGTTCTTAGAATAAAAATGTAGAACACGTCAAGCATGTCAGTGGAGCCTGAAGCCAATCAGGACAAAAGTTCTGCCGCCCCTGATTCAGAAAACTGCATCCACCTTGCTCCAGTGAGGTTTTAATGTCATGTGACACGGTGAACAGCAGAGAAAGTTGGTAAAATAATTTCTAACCAGCATGCATTGTTTTAAGTCCAGCATGCATCACGTTAAGTCAGCGCTGTTTTTGGAGAAACTCTGCAGAGCTGCCACAGTAAACTGCAATAACAGAGTAAATGCAACTTTACAATTCAGTCCCCATAAAATATACATACATTTCAGAAAGTGCCATAAATCATCCTGTTGACCAGCTACAACAGAAACTATGTATGATATATGATGATAAGGGAGAAGATAAAGTCACTGTAAATTAAATCATTTAAGATAGATTTAAAGCCACTAAACCCTGCCACATTCTTTGTAGGGATGTTAAAGGGAAGATTATACAAGGCTTGAAATGATGTAGTAACTTAACACCATACTGTGGAGAAAAAAAGTGTTTTGGTTTTTTTTTTTTTTGTCACAATATTCTTTATAGCTTTTTCCTCCAACATAATCTTCGTCTCCGTTATGAACTGAACCAGCATGTTATGAAGTTTATTTATCAAGTGCCATCTATTTAGTTTCTCTAAAAAGAAACCTCAAATATATCCCTCATGTCTAATGCAACCCAAACAACAGAGACATGACTATTAAGACTGCAGGTTACTGATGGTGTGTAAAATTAAGTTTTTCATCTAGTCCTAATGAATCACAAAACACATCTCCTGCTGCCACCATAACAAAGAAACATTGTCATCTCTAACTCATTTAAGGTTTAGATATCATTTGTAGGCACAATAAAATTAGATTAGTTACATTTTATGGATACAGTGCCGGCACATTTCTTTATTTTGTGGTTGATATTGCAGTTCAGTATGAGTGCAATCTGTTTCTAATGAATGATTTCTACGTAATTATTTAACTATACATCAACAGTACATTTCACTTTATCCCCTACTGTTTGCAGGTTGGGATGTTTGTTATCTAGACCACATACTGGACTGTAGTTGCATATTTCTCCTTGTTAGTGAATAATTCTCTGACTACTAATCTTAGCCTCTTCTTCAGTGGAGAAGTTGGTTGACATACACTCCTGACACCACTCATGTGTCATTATTTTTTCATAGTGCCCTGATTCATGTTCGTGAATGTTTGCTTCCCATTACCTTCTGTAGAGTGTTATCTAAAGAGCTGTACGAGAGTCAAAAGTCGGCTGCCTCTGAACTCCAATCTCTTCCTCTTGTCTGTACTTACAACATACATACATTAACCCGCTCTCTCTTGCTCTGGTCTTACTCTGCCGCTGCTCCGCGTAATTTTCATCTTCTCTCCGAGCCTCAACTCCTCCGTGTCATCCCTCCGACGTCCATTTCTCCCGAGTCTCGCTTTGTCTCTCTTTCTCCTCTGTCTTTACCCCCTCAAACTATAATGCAGCAGCAGCGCAGAGGCCCGTTCCTCTGGATGGATGTCGACTGATGGATCTATGCGTGGCTCAGGAGGGAACAGGCTTGGATGTGTCCTTCAGGGTACTTGAGGAATCAGTAACATACACACAATGAGCCCCACTGAGCTCTGATAAATACGTTTAACTCCGATAGAGAGCAGCACTGACGCAGATTGTATTGAATTTGGAGTTAAGGGCCTGAAAGCTCACTGGACAGAAATCGCCTGGATTCTGACAGTCTTTGCAGCTTTTCACCTTGTCGCTTTTACCTTGTGAGCAGCTATTCTCATCATGCGTCATCAAGTCTACATTGTGGTTGCTATCTTGCTATCTTTTACAGATAATAGATTAGATAGAACCAAATGAGCTGTTAAAATACTAGTGTCAGATTAAAGTCTCTTTCAGTCTATGAGATTCTGAATCTGCTGTAATCTTCTAGTTAAAAAAAAGCTTTTCAAAGCAACATAGAAACCTCAGAAAATGCATGATGAAGATGAAAAATAGACACACTTTTCATTTGTTCCTGAAAAGCGGAAAATATCGAAATTGTGTGATTTTTCTCCTTACAATTGCAAGACTGTTATGGCAAAGTGATGGTTGTCAACTGTGAGCTTCTGTCTCTATACAGCACCTCAAGAAAAACTTGCCCTTGAGGACAGTTTTTTCAGGAACAAATGGTTTGCAATTCTTTGACAAAAGAGAAAAACATTTATTGGTTTTCACGCCAAGATTAGTAGCACTCTGTTGTTTGTGCGTAAATGCAAGGCTACGCACGGTAACTGGTTATCTTAGCTTAGCTTAGCTTAGCTTAGCATGAAAACTAGACAACGGGGGAATCAGCTAACCTAGCTTAGTACAAAGGTGATAAAATCCACCTACCAGCTCCTCATTAACATTAACAGATATCTGATTTTTTGCCCCAAAGTGCAGAAACAAGAAGTTAGGGTGTTTGCGGGTTAGGTGCTGGAATATTTCTTGGCTTACAGAGTCGTTGCTGGTTGGTTACCTTAAGTGGGTGACAAAGTAGTTGGACATATGATCCACATTAAAACACACTTTTTTTCACATTTATTAATTTGTGAACTTTGGTCAGACTTACCGTTTCCCCTTGTTTCCAGCCTTTATGCTAAGCTAGGCTAACTAAATTCTCCTTGTAGCCTCATATTTACCATAGAGACCTGAGAGTGCTATCAATCTTCTCTATGGCAGAAAGACAATTAACACATTTACTAAAACGTGGAACAATTCATTTAAATGAATACTGCTGGATCCAGGTGTAAATATGATTTCACATGGAAAAGATTTTTTCTCTCATATTTTTTAAACATCAGTCTTTGAATTGTGAATTTCTGTGCTTTTCCAACCACAGCTGCATGTGCCTCCTCAAGGCAGATTTTTTCTAAAATTCTACAATGGTGAAACACAAGAGGGTTGGATTAGGTTGTCTTTGTCAATTGGGTATTACTGGGTTTACCTTTAAGACCATCGAGTTGAATCTCTTGCTCCATCTGTCTGGAGGCTGAGCCATCACCGGCACTCAGCTGACAGAAGACCATTATCGCAGCAGAACAATGTGCAGTCTAGTGGTAGACCTGTGGTAGCTAGACACTACTGTAGAGAAAGATTGTGGGAGTCAATAAGGGCAATTATACTGTTATTCTAATTGTCACGGTCTAGTGAGGGTAAAATTAAGCTCTGGCACTCTCACACAGATAGATACAGCCTCACAGTTGCCTCACAGTCACTACCTTGACGGTCCATTGTTCTCTGATGTTATGCACGTGTTTGGAGCGCTTGATAAATTTAAAATCAAAGCTCTGTAATAACTTGTCAGCTTGGTGTGTGAATCAGCAGGACTATTCAGCATTTGACCCTGGCTTTGCAACGAAGAGTGTTCAGCATCTCAAAGCCACTATCCCCTTTCCATGCTTCAGATGGTGCCATAATTCCAAAGCCTGCACGCTGCCAGTCACTTTGGTCCCCTTACATGGACGTGGGCGGCGCAGCGATGAGTAAGGCAGTCACAGTGTGACCAAACTGCTCGGCACTGTCACCACCAACAGCAATCAGAGGAGACGATTGTGATCATTGCCTGGTGTTTCAGGCTGGCTTTCACAAATATGTGTATTTTTATATACAGTATATATATATGTATTTCATCAATCAATGAAATTACAGACCATATATTAAAACAGTCTGAGTAGTTATACTGGCGTGTGAGAAGTCGCAGGTGTCTGTTTTATCACCTGCAGTCAGACTGACAGTCAAAGCTCTTCGCATACAAAAGACCCTGCCTGCAATTTCACACAATCTAGCACACACATACACACTCACACACACACACACACACCCACACACACATACACACACACACACACACACACACACACACACACACTCACACCCCCCAACTCTACTACTCCACATACAACCCATTACTTGTCCACAATTACCTTGACCCTACAAAATTATTATTTGTTTGTGTTTGTTTTATTTTGTAGAAACTCATCTCTGGCCTCTCAATTCCCCTGACAGCAGAGATGAAATTACTGAACATGTATAGTCAAAGCAAACACAGTGATGGGCTTATTAAAGACACAGAGAGAGTGGAGAGGAGGAGCTCGGGTCTGGCTGCAGCTGCTGCATTGGCTGTCTGCTCAGCAGTGGGGAGGGGCTGAGGGAGAGAGAGCGAGCGCGCGCGAGAGAGAGAGAGTTGGGGGAGGAGGGCAGTGCTCTTGTTGGGAGATAGGGAATGCCCGTTAGTTGCGTCTGCCGATAATAGCACATCAGCCAGAGCACTGCTATTGGGAGAGCAGAGCACAGGCAGTGCGGAGGACTGAGCCGCTGAGCACAGAATGGTACACTAGAGAAGACAGGCACCCTCAGAAAGAGACAGAGAGAGAGAGAGAGAGAGAGAGAGAGCAAGGGGAGGCAGAGCGCATCAGAACACGTTGAGAAGAGGAGGACAGAGCAGGAGGAGAAGAGAGTGAGGAGGGGAGAAAAGTTACCAGGTCAGCATTAGAACGTGGAAGTGGAGCAGCTGAGACTCACTGGGGTCTCTCTCCCACCGGAGCAGCCCAGCACAGCAATAAGCAGCAGAGGAGGAGAGTGATATTACATGAGGGGATAGAGGGAGTGCTGTAACTTCTCCCCGGAAAGACAGTCCTGTCATAAGGTGAGGCTAATGCCCCTCACAGGACCCTCCTGCACAGCCACTTCAGGACTATCACAGCAAGACAGCAGCAGCACGCAGAAGACACTTAAACCTGGCAGAGGTGCCTGAGCAGTGCAGTTCTACTCACTTCTACACTGGAGACTTTCTGATCCAATTGTGCACTTTGAAGTGGATGTAGTTGTGTTTCTGTTTTATCTTTATTTGCTTCAGAGTGTGAAGCGGTGGAGATTTGGAGGGCGAGTTGTTCTGTCCGCTCATCTCTGAGACTATGGTAGACTGTGCGTCAGGGAGCCCTTCATCAGCAGCTGCAGCCCTAGAGCATGGAGAAGTCCAGCAGTGAGGAGTCAGCCATTCACCGTAGCCCTTCCGTAGATAGCCGTGACTCCGACTTTGCTCAAGCCTCCACGTCTGGCCGCCCGTTTGGCGGCCGCGGGTTCACTGCCGGTGCTTTCTACGGCTCCACGGGGCCGCGCAAAAACGCACAGCAGGGGCAGGCTGGAGCAGCTGGAGCTGACGCCAGCACAGGAGACAAGTCCAACAGCAAGCACAGCTCACCTAAAGGCAGCAAATACGTTGTCTTTTACCTGGATCTATCCTTTGTGTTCCTTTTAGAATTCAAGAAGTGCAACATGGCAAGAGGCTGCCTGTGCTGCTTGAAGTACATGATGTTCATCTTCAATCTCATCTTTTGGGTAAGTGGCTCATTATTTTTCTTTTGATTTGTGTTTTGTCCATCATACTTGTTCACAGTCATTTAGTTGATGATGTGATAGCCAATGTGAAGGCTCAGTGTACGATAAGGTTTTTGTTTTAATGTTAATTAGGAAACATTATGGCAAAGTGATGGTTGTCAGTGCAATCATGCGTTTCTAATTATTACATCAGGGTGTTTATGCCCGCTCCTCTCTGTGCATGTTGCTATTCCTGGATGTCATGACAGAGTCAGTGGCATTGCACCAGGTCTCCTTTTGTATGTGACTGGTGAGGTTGGGAGGGGGGTTGGGGGTGGTGGTGGGTGGTGGGGGTGAGTGGGGAGGAGGGTGTTGGATTGTGGTGGTAAGGAGGACATGGGTTCATTAGGGTCGCTCATTCAGATGGTTATATGATTTACAGTGAACATGAAGTCGAAATGCTGCTTTTGGAATGCAAGTGAAATAGAATATGCTTCCACAGTGCAGTTACATTGATGAGCAACACAATATGCACCAGGGGGATATGAGCTCAGGTTGTCAGCAAGAGTTTCAAGTGATTCTGATTTGTGGTTCATTTTATTATGCAGTCTTTTAATGAGGCGTCCGTGCTCTTGGGTAAAACTATGATCAGCAATGTAGGAAATTGTAATAATCACCAGCCAATGTCCAGAATCGCTGTAACTGTTGCTGTTATCTGTATTTGATGGTGTAATTATGTGTATTTGATGTAATTTGGTGTAACAGTGTTCCCTGTGCCCAATCTACACTCAAATAGGTGTCACCCAGAGAAACCTGGCCGGCGTGTGGCTGCCTGTGATTGGTACTCATGCATGGGCATTTGTTGTAAAAGTGGGCACCCCCTGAATGAATGTTTACAGAATGGATTATGGGGCTTATAGGTTATGGGGCCAAGTCTTTTGTGTGGATGCAGCCAAGCGTGAAGCGTAAAAACATCCCAACACTGGGGACTCCAAGCAAGCACGGCCCACCATGTCACTGGGTTGTGAGCCCTGCTAACTGGGGCAACAGAGTGGGTATTAGCTGGAGCCCAGCTGTGAAGCGGCCAGCGTTTAAAACAAACACACACACACACACACACACACACACACACACATATACATGCACCACACAAAGCGAGATCTATCTCACCGTCCGCCTCTGTATATGAAAATGGACAGCTCTGCTAGTGGCCAACCTCAGGCTGGGAGCATGGAAGGTCTCTCTGCTGCTTCAGGGCAATATCTCCATATCATTCTCATATCATTACTCAGTCCACAAAGGCAAGGGCGAGACTGATTGGCAAAGACTTAGAAATAGCTCAGGGGCTCCTCTGTGTGCCTCTCCTTGATGTGAATGTTTGTTTAAGGGAATGAAAGGGTCAGAAAAGCTTAGCTGGTGTTAGATTCATTAATGCAGACATTGACTTATTTGATGTGAGCACCCCTTTGGAAATCAGTCAGTATATGTAGAGTGCAAGTAAGCACTCAGGCCTTGACATTACTACTGTTTGAATTAGGGATGGAAATTTTAAGCAGTTTCCTTTATCGATTGCTGGCCAAATAAATGATCAATCAGCAGTGACTCAATGTTACAAAATGCATTCATTTTTCCTCATTGAAAGCTTCAGTATACAGATGAAATGAGATATTTTTATAGCACGGCCAGTAGTCAGCAAATTATGATAGATCAAGGTCTTATTAGAGTCTACATTAACAGAGTGACACTATCAGTGTCCTGTGTGTCAGCTTGGCTCATGTAATAGATCAGAAGATGCCTCAGTGCACAGCTATAGGTCAACCTTTAGCAGAGGTCATAAGGTCATTATTATCTGCTCTCTTCTTCAGGGGCAGACACAGGGGATTTGCTTGAAGGCATTTACGTTCCAGATTCTCCCCGGGCTCAATTTGTGTTTAACCCTTTTCAGTGGTTGGAAAAGAGGCTTTGGATTTTTAATGCAGGTGTGGGGAGAGGGAGAGAGAGAGAGAGAGAGAGAGAGAGAGAGAACAAGCTCTGAGTTTTGAGGCCTCTCTTTCTCATCATGTGTGTGTGAACGTGCGTGCGTGTGTGTGTGTGTGTGTGTGTGTGTATGTCTGTGTGTGTCTGTCTGTGTGTGTGTGTGTGTGTGTGTACACGGGGCATGGGGACCTTAAGTAGCTTTTGGACCTTCCCCAGCGCAGCACAACCCCTGCTGTGCAGTAATTGAATTTTTACTCTGCTAATGTTCACTTAATGAACACCCGCCATGCGTATTCCCTTATATTACTGCAGACTGATACTCTTGTTTTCTCTCCAGCACTATATCATTGTAATAACAGTTAATTCAGTGTCCCGTGGGAAGAGAGGTTGATGTGTGGGTTATTATGCAGCATGCGACTGGTGGGTCTCCAGTCCATCAGAATGTGACAGCTCGAGGCTCGCCGGTGGCTGGAATGCTGGGGCAGCAGTGCGGCCAGTTGAAGGTTAGAGCTGGGAATAAAGGATTCACTCATCATTAAGGTGCTGGAACAGGGTGCCTGGGCATTGGGAGATAGAGGTAGGTAGGGTGAGAATCGTGTTGTATCTTGACACCCCTGGGACTGCACTGCTCTACCTCTGACACTCCAGGAATCACAAGGTTACTGCAGCTGGTAGGGAGGTTTGCCTCTGAAGCTCTGAAATCTCATCTCGAGACTGAAGTGGGGAATGGCGCGCTGCAGTAACCTGACACCAGGTACAGCAGGGGTCTCTTCTTTCTGACTGAGCACACATGCACGAGCACACTTGCCGCACACACACACATACTCACACACACATACACACACACAAACACACACACACACACACACACACACAAAACAGCCATCCTTGGAAGTACACTCACCACCCACACACCATCCGTTCCACAGGGCTTACAGTGGTAACTTGAAGCACAAGGTAAACAGCGGCAGGCACTCCAGGCATCTTCATACATGCGCTCATCCTCAGCCCCCCCCCCACCCCCCCACCCCAGCAGTTGTTCACGACCATCTGGCTTCTCTTTCTTATAAGGGATTAGAAGAATCTGAGCTGCAGGGGGAGTTTCAGGCAGATTAGAGCAGTATTGGGTGGTGCGGTTAGGGATTGAGAGCATGGCTCCTTCGGACAGCGCTATGCTAAAACCAACAATCATCAAAGCAAATGGCCTTTATGCTGTGACAATGTGTTACAAAGTGAGCGGTTTAGCAGGGAGGGCGGGTGGGGGTCTTTGTGCTCACACACAGAGACACACACATGCTCAGTGACTGTTTGACCAGCCTGATAGGGTGATTGATGTTAAGTTCTATCGGTGTCAGCCTTGTGAGCGAATCAGTGTAGGTGTTCTCGCTGGGGGCAAGGATTTCAGCCTCTTACTCTGCAGTGTGTCCTCTCCTCGCAGACTCCCCCGTTAATCTTTTCCCATTCAAGATTCAATTTCTTGTCCACTGCTGTACTTATCTATCTTGCCCAGTGAAATTGAACACCTTTTGAAAAGTGAAACAAAACAAAAAAAAAAAAAGGCCCTGGAAACACAACACAAGGATTGACTCTGCCAAATCACCAGCAACATCACACATAAACTAATTTTCTTTGTACAGAAGCGAAACAGGCCCATCCCAGTTGTGCCATTATCATGCCATATCAAAAGCTACAGCCTCATTTGATATTCGTATTTAAAAGAAAAGTGTCAGCTCAGCAGTCTTGTCTTACAAGTACAAGAGGGGTGGTAGTATCAAAGCTGCTCCTTTGTTAGAGGAGAGAAAACCAAATGTGTTTAGCATTCATGAAATCCTCTGCTTACTTAGGGGATTGCTGCAGGATTTATAAACCATTTGGTCCAAGGCAACAGAAGATTAGTTTTCCCATCGATTTAATCACTGAATTTGACATTTAAGGTTTCAAATGTGCCCGCGCTCTGATGCAATAAAGGCAAGAGTTATTGACAGACTTAAGGTGGTTTGTAAGAAGTGTGTGTGTGTGTGTGTGTGTGTGTGTGTGTGTGTGTGTGTGTGTGTGTGTGTGTGTGTCCGTGTGCGTGCAGGTGTGTGTGTGAACGTCTGTGTCTGGGTGAGTGGAATTACATAAAGCTGTCCCTCTCTCCTGGGATTTCCATCTAAGGTGCTGAAGCAATTTGCCTGTTTTTTTCATTCTGCATATCGGCATATGTAGAGTTCAGTCATCTTTCTCCTCCTCCTTCCTCCTTCCTCTTCCTCTCTCTCACAAGAGGCACAGCTGAACTCCGTCAGGCACCGCCAGGTGAAACAAGGACTGGGGCACAGGAAAATAGATGAGGGTTGAGGGCCCTCTGCGAGATGATGAAACAAGCTGTATGTGCTGCGCTGCCACATGCATTTAATTCCATCAATTCGCCATGAAAGGCTGACTCCTGAATAGGCTTTGAGTTTGAAATTGGAGGAATGCAGCATCAGCCTCAGCCAGTCTGTCCACCTAAATTTTTGCGCCTGTGGCTATGACAAGATAGGTATTCAGTGGATTTAATCAATCATGGCGTGCATGGGTGCCCCTCAGCTGGTCAATTACAACCCGTCTCAGATTATATGTCTTTAGAATCATCTATATCCATATCAGGCATTTAGACTCTATAATATGCTCAAATTTCATCAAATATACAGCAGGCAGTGTTTTGCCTGAGAGCTGCTCGGTAACATTTACATAGAGAACATCACTATATTTATATGCATTTTAATCATTTGAAGTCTTGTAATTAGCATCCCCTAAAGATCGTTGGGCCTTGATTCAGATTGGCTGACCTGCTTGGTAAAATATCTCCATGTGTCTGCCTTTGTCCAGCGGAATCGTCTGGGGAGATCCTTCTAATTTACACGTCTCTCTCCGACTGCTTCGATTTCCCGGCCGTGTTGTGTAGCGCCGCTGAGCTCATTAGCTCATGTTGCAGATCAACTGGAATACGGCGCTGCTGTGCTTCACTCTAGGGGGTCGAGGTAATAGAGCAGTAAAATTGGAGGTGCGTTTTTTTGGCCTGA